GAGGCACTGCCGCTCTGCTCACCTCATACTTGTTAGGGGCAATGAAGTTTAAGGTCTCGTCAGGATCATACAGGATGGAGAAGGCCAATTCCAGCACCTCCTGGGGAGAAAGGGCCCCAGTTAGGCCACAGCAGTGGGAGGGTCCTAGGAGGGTCCGGGCCCTGCACACAAAGCTAGCTCTGCACCACAAGCCTTGACCTGGGCACCACTGTCACCGTCAGGCTGGGCCGCAGGTGGCATCACTTCTGATGTGAGTCAGCAAGGGCCCTGGGCCGCAGGTGGCGTGAGGTGGGGGCCAGTGGTCATCAGGCTCAACTCACCCACTGCCCGTCCAGCTCACCCCTTTTAGAACAGGGTGCCAGTCCTGTTCCACTCGGGAAGAACCCTTTGAAAGCCAGAGTCCCTGGCACAGGCTGCCCCTGGATTTCTATAACTGCCCCGAGGCAATCTCCAAAGTTTCCAAATAAAGACGATGAAAACGTGCGGTGGCCCCACATGGGACAATGTGAGCACCAAGAAAATACCAACTCGGATGGACTGACACACATGTAAACTGCACCAGAGACACACAGCCACCGCTGTCAGGGAACGGGCTCATTCCTTTGAGAAGCCAGAAACAAAGGGGAAGCACCAAGCACTGGCCTGCCGTCCGAAACGTGCGGCTGGGGCCCGTGGCAGTGGAGGGCGGGTTGCCCTTCCCAGAGGCAGTTCAGCTAATACATGAAAGGGGGTAACTGGGCTGGAACAGCAAACCTTAATTTATGAATGGAAAGAGGCTTTGAGCGTCAGCAGCCTGCTGACAACGCAGAGAAAACCGGACAGTAAGTGCCTCTGGAGAGAGAAAAAACACTGTCCGTGCAGCACTCTTAGCCAGCCCCGCCTCAAAAAAAAAAAAAGCAACCGCACACAAAAATTCTGAACGACCACACCTCTCGATCCTATCAGTGTACAGATCTAGGGCAGAGTGAGTGGAACCATCCACGGGGGACGTGATCAGCAAAATGTACCAACCCAGCAACCTGGTTTCTTTACTAATGATTGCAGAGGGAGGGAAAAAAGGGGGTGGGGTAGACGACTTAAAATGAAGGATCTCAGAAGGTATCAACTCATCCCAGCGTGGGACCTTCCTGAAGCCTGATCTGACTACTGGGCAGAATCCATGTGTCTATGCATGTGTGCGCATACATGTGTATGTGCATGTATATAAGTGTATGTCTGAGTTTATGCATACAAACATTTTTAGAGAGAGAGAGACGATGATAAGTCATACGGTAATTGGTGGGGATGCAAACATCAGTGGAGCATTTCATGGTGTTAAATAACTATTTCTCTTTCGGTATGATTCGTGGTTATGTTTTATGAGTCCCCATATTTTAGAAAAACATACTAAATATGTGCAAGTGAAGCAATATCACACCTGGAATTTGCTTCAATATAACCACCCCTCACTTGGTGACGTGGTTAGGTTCCAAAGTCCAGGTGGCTTGCCAGGATTCATCACCACACAGCTTTCGAACTACTGAGATTCAGGCCCCGCCAGCCCGGCAAGTCACCGTCACCACTGACCATCACAACCGGCCTGGCTTGTGTAGCGCCTCGGCGTGTGCAACCGGCGCATGTGCGGTGTTAATGCGCAGAGCTGTCTGACAGTAGGCGTTTCCCGCTGTGCTAAGCGAGAGGTGCTGGCTGTGCTACCTAAGGAGAAGGCATGACAAGGGACGGGGCCACCGGGAGGGGCCGGCTAGGTCGCCATGGTTGTTGAGGGTGGGTGGCGAGTCTATATAGCTCTGGCTAGTTTTGTGTTATGTCCACAATTACACAGGAATAAATCAAGGTTGGGGGGGAATACATCTAACCTGCTCCCCGCACTTCCACCCCCCGCCCCCAGACTCTCCGGATGTCACCAGACAGCGAGTCACCCTCAGACCACCCCCACTGACCTTGTTCTGCTTCAGAGCACTCTTCTCTTTCATATGAGGACAGTCTTTCCCAGTGACAATGGCCTTAATGTCTGCAACAGGAACTGACAAAGGAGGGGAGTCAGTCTCCGGAAGCCTCCCTCAGTTGCTGGGAGGCAATCCTGTGGGGGGTGGGGGTGGGCGTGCAGGCTCCACACAGAAGGCTGGACTAGTTCTGGGAGGGGCCTTTACTATGCCTCCTGCCTCCCATTTCCGGGGACCATGGCCCTGGGGGAGCTAGCTGGAACTCACTTCGGGGCTCTTGGAGCCATCTCCCCAAGGGACAGGCCTCGGACAAGCTTTCCCGGACAACCACAAGAGCAGCAGGGGCAGTGGCAGTGCCAGGGGCCTGACTGTCTAATTGCTGCTCCTCCCCACCCCAGCCAATTCCTGCGTGGGCAGCATGGCCACTCGTTTCATGCTGAGGAGAGGAAACTGGGGCCGTGGGGAGCATGAAGTTGCAGAGTTCATGGGAATCGAGGGCACAGTCTGCATGGGCATTCGGGCAGCCTAGACTGGGAGCTTGTAACCACGGCCTTCCTTCCTACTTTGTCTTGGCCAATCCTTTGCCACCTGTGAACCTGTGTTGTCTGCCACCTGCTTCTCCAGGCGGGCGTGAGCTCTGGCAGATGGGGGCCCAGGTCCAGGGAGGTGACCTGCCCAAGATATTATCTGCTGGGAACGGAGCCAGAGCTAGCACTCAAGTCTGCTGACAGTGAGTCTGTGAACCTACTTTTCTCCTGCAGGGACTCGAACGTCACCTCCCCCTGAGGGTTGTCGTCCAGGTCGCCGTAGTGCAGAACCTTGTGGTTCAGGGCCAGGCGGCAGTACCAGAACCGCTCTGCAACACAGGGGAAGCAGAGCAGGTGAGCAAGGTGGTTCTGGGGAGCCCCTCCGCCCCAGGGAGCACAGGCTGGTTCCTCCAGCAAGCCCCTCTGGCCCGCCTCTCACCTTGCCTCCGGCGGTTGCCCACCTTCCGGAAGCTGCTGCCCTCACAGAGCCGGTTCAGGCGCTGCTGCTTGATCAGCTCCAGGATCTCAGGCTGGATCTTCTCCCTCAGCTCCCTGGGTGGGCAGGTGGCAGAGGAGCGAGGAGGTCAGGGGCCAGAAAGCTTCCTCCCCACGCACCCCTCCGGGAGGAAGGTACTCACACGATGGGGGGGGACTGGAAGTCGTCCTGGCTCATCCGCTCCGACTGGCGCAGCCGCAGGATCTCCGAGTAGCTCAGGCTGCGGAGCTTGCTCTTGAACTGGTCCAGGGAGTTGGGCTTGGAGGGCAGAGCCCGTGTGATCTGCTCTCGGACCACTTGCATGACCTATGGGGCAGGAAGCAGGCCACCCCCTGAGGCCGGGTCCTATCCTGGCGTCTTGAGCATGGAAGGCCCCACGAGCGTCTGCTGGCTGACCGAGAGGACTGGCTTATGAAGGCCAGCCTTCTGAGACTGGCCCTGGGGTGCTCCCTTCCAGCTCGGGCAGTTCATCTGTCAGTGGCGTGGGGTACAGAGCAGAGGTGGGGGAGCCAGGGAAAAATGGATCCAGACCCTGGTCCGTCCCTTAATCTGTTCCTTGAGCAAGTCAAGGCACATCCTCGGGCCCCACCTTAAAGGTGGGACACAGGCAGCCCCCTCCCTGACAAATGCTGCCACAGGCCTGTGAGGTGCTGTCTGCGGGCAAGCACGGGATCTGGCCCACTGTCCCGAGCTCAGAAAGTGTGTGAGTACCCTGAAACCACTGCTGCCCGAGACGAGGCTGGAACAACGCAGGGCAGGCGAGGGGGCGCACACCGCTGCTGGAAAACGCCCACAGAGACACCTGCTGATGGCACAGAGGGACCTAGAAACCGCTCTCCTTCTGTTTACTTTCTAACCTGTCGGGAGCAAAGGGCGCTTCACGCAGCCCCTAGATTAGCCCAGCCCGATGCTCCCCGTGCGGTGGGCTCAGGACTGCATACTGCATGTGTTCTGACGACACTGCCAGCAGTCAGGGTCGACTGGCTGGCAACTCCCAACCCGCCACGAGGAGCACAAGCTCCCAGCGCTTAACCAAGCACGGCTCCCATGGTGTGGCTGAGGTCCCTCCTGAAGGGCGGGCTCAGCAGATGCTGGGCAAACAAGGAGGGACACAGCCTGGTCAGCGGCCCGGCTAACGACCTCTGCTCAAGGATGCACGGCGAGTCAGGCGCGTGGCCCTCAGTGCCGTGGTCCCCGCTGCTTTCCCAGCTGGGCGAGGCCACGTGCCCGGTGGGTACTGTTTCACTGACCTTGTTGAAGTCCTCGGCTGTCGCCCGCATCTCTTTCCAGGTCTTGTTCAGCAGCTGGATGCAGATCCCAAAGAGCTCTTCGAAGGCGCGGTCGTGGGTGAAGAACATGGGGTGGTAGTCATTGCGCCCTTCGTTTGCTGCGCAGGGAAAGCAGCAGGCCGGGTGAAAAAGGGAACGGCACCCTCGCCCACAGTCTTGGGGGCCTCTGCTACAGAAGGCGAGGCCCCCAGGCGGGAGAGGCAACAGAAGCTGTCGGTGGGGTCTCTGCAGGCACGCAGGCGCACGCGCGTGGGGGCTGCCCCGACTTACGCAGCTCCCCGACCTGGAGGATCTCACAGAGCATCTTGGTGAGCTCGATGGCGCTGCGGCCGAAGGGGCACTCGTGCTTGTCCTCCCGGCTGCTGTTCTCCAGCACAATCTGGTGGGGGAGGGGGGACATCAGGGAGGGAAGGGCGGACAACCATGGCCCCAGGGCAGGGTGAGCCAGCCCCCAGCTGTACCCGGATGTAGGTGTCCTGGTGGACTTTAGCCAGGTAGAGCATGTTGTCCAAGGCCAGCATCCCAGGAGGAGTTTGGGTAAAGTCCATGGCGGGGTTGATGTGGTTCTGGAGAAGGAAGAAACCTGATCTGAGACCTGGTGAGCTCCCTGTGTAGGGTGTTGCCTGAGCCCCCGCCCCACTCCCTACACGCCTCTATCATTTTGTAACTCCTCCCTGTGAACACTTCCAGCACCGCCCCTCAGCGACTCACTCAGCCGCCCAGCCCCAGCACAGTGCCCGGCACCTAGCAGGTACGCAATCCTGATTCCACGGAGAGACCCCTGTCCTCATGCCCCCAGTCTAGCTTCTGAAAGACCTTAGGGGTCTCTGCCCTCTACAGTCAGGTTTGCTTTGGAGGCCAGAGAAGCCATAAGGTGTGCCGACTGCCACTGCAACTCTAGACCGCTCCTCGATGGCCCTGCCTCTGGCTGCTCACAGTCCCTTTCTGGGGCCACTATCTCGATGGAGGAGACCTTGTGGGCTTGTCTGGGAAGGCCCTCTGACTTCTTTGTCTGGGGGAACAAAGCTGCATGTTGTGATTACAAATGAATTTCCAAGAATTTGGTCCTTGTCCTTGGTTCCTGAGATGCTACAACCTTGGAAATACCCCAGTACATGTAAGTGCCTTGGATGAGGTTTCCACACCACACTGTGGGTGGCCTGTGTGACCCAGTTCCCACCTTATGGTCTCAGCTGACCTGGGGGGAGGGAACACACCTCAATGGGTCATGCCTGTGTAAGGAGGCTATGGGCATGGCTGGCCCGGGGCTTCCTGGTTGGTGAAAGACACTGAAGCATGAGGGAGGGAGAATGCTCTTGTCCCTTTTGGGAACGTGGGAAGCCCGTGGGGGTGAAGGACCCTGCACGTGTATCCTTTCTGCTGTCACAGACTCTAATTCCACATGCACAGAGACTTCTGGGAGTCAGTCTGTGGGATTCCTGAACCTGAGGGGTAGCGAGTGAGAGCAGCCTGCGGGTCAGAGGGAGGCGTGGGGACTCCCGAGCCTGTGGCCAGCATCTGAGGTTTGGGACAGGCGTAGCATCTGGAAGATTGGAGGGGAGGAAGGGGGGTGTCAGAGAAGGGGACCTGAGCTGGCTGAGACTGACCCATAGCCTGGTGTCCCCCAAAGTGAGAAGTGGCGGCGACCGTACGTACAGTGAACCCCAGCATTTTGTAGTCTTTGGTGTACATGGCTTTGCGCTTTTCAGTACCACTCCCGGGGCCGCTGCTGGGGTCTGACTCCGCGTCAAAGGCAATCCTCCGCAGTTCAAATATAACGTCTCGCTGGGCCTGCGGGGTGAAGCGGAACGCGGCCAGGGCACTCGGCAAGCTGAGGGACACCTGGCCTTTCTGAACCGAGTCACCCCGGAGGGGGACTCGCAGGGTGGGACAGGCGGATGGCGAGAAGCAAGGGCAGGGCCTGGCCTCCAGCAGGGGCCCTGTGCCCACCCCCACGAGGGAGAAAGCAGCCGCAGGGCGTGCCAGGAGAGCTCTGCTTCACCGAGCACCCACCTGGTCATTGGGGTCCATCTTGGTCATCATCCTTTCCTCCAGGAGGTTAAAAGTCAGGACTTGCAGGACATACAGTTGATGGGCCATCTCCGTTTTGATAGGGCGGTTCCCTCGGATCACGTGCTGGAAGAGGAACAGGAGGGGACCGGATGATGTGTGCCAGGAGAGCCATAGCATGCCAGTGAGAAGGGCAGCACTTGGGCAGAGGTGACCTGTCCTCCCCACGCCAGGGCCAGGCTGCACACTGCAGGCCTCCTCAGAGCCTGGAGGGCAGAGGCCTCGCCTCCCTGCAAAGCCAGCGGGGCCCCGTTGAGATTCTGAGCGGACTCCAGCCAGCACGTCAGCCGGTGACTCAACGCAGGGCAGGAGCTAGCGGGCTGGAGGAAGAGGTCCCGGCAGACTGGACCGCAGGGCCTTCTGTCTGCCTCGCGGGAATAGCATGGCTCGGACGGCGCCACACGGAGGTTTTAGAAAAGGTCTTTCTTTTTCGTCTTCAAAAATTAATCATTTTATTGGGGGGGGGTATTACAAATCTTGTAACCATCTACCATTCAATTGTGTTACACACAGTTGTGCATAGGTTGCGCCATCATTTCCAAAACATTTTTTTTCTAATTGAACCCTTGGTATCAGCTCCTCTTTTTCCCCTGCCCACCCTCCTCATGACTCCTGGATCGGTTGTATATTGTCAGGGTGAGAAAAGGTCTTTTTCCTCACATGGTTGACACAGAGGCACGAGGAGGCAACAGCTAACTCCTCACCCAATCTCCCCCCCAGCCCTGGCTCCCGAAGGCTGTCCTGCCCCCGTCCTCTCTCCTGGCACTCTGGCCTCTCCTTGCTCTCTGGGCCCTCAGCCGTCCCCTCAGTCAGTTCCCTCTTCTTCTCTGTCCCTCCTGGCTGGTCAGTGTTTGTGCTCTTGTCTCTGCCTGGCCTGCTGTCATTCCCACAATACCCTGCTTGTGCCTCCTCATGCCCTCTCTGCCTCGCCCTCCACCGACCCCGACCCTCCTCACTGCAGCACGCCTCGGGCCCAGCTTCCCACACACGTCGCCTTGAGTCCCCACACTGCCTGGGTCCCTCGTGTTCATGTTCCGTCGGGCTTTACATCTCGAGAGCTGGGCGGTGCAGTGAGGGAGCCGCTAGCCAAGTGCGACCATTGGCATGTCCAGCAGTTAAAATCAGGTAAAATGAAAAACTCTATTCCTCAGTCGCACCGGCCCCTTTTCAAGTGCTCAGTAAGTAGCTACACAGGCAGGTGGTGGCCACCACGTTTCTGGCTGCAGCGGCATCCCCTGCCCCCTACCTGGCAGCGTTGCTCGGGACCCTCTACTTCTAGGTCAACTCTTTCAGAGCATGCTCTAACTTGAGATCAGCAGCTCTGGCCATCCATCAACCTCAGACTGGTGCTGCCCCACGGGGCAGCCAGAAGTCACCTGTGCCTGCTGAATGCTTGAGCCACGGCTAGTTCAAACGGCAGTGTGCCGCAAGCCCAGCATCTGCTCGGGACCCTGAAGCCCGAGGAGGAAAAGGAGCTGGAGAAGGCCTCGCAGGTAGCTTTTATTACCGATGACACGCTGAGGTGATATTGTTTTGGGATGCTTGGGTCGGACTCGCGGTGGCCCTGCGCACCACAAAACCAAGCACTGTCTGGTCCTGCAGCTTCTCACAGCTGTTCTGATGCTGCGGTGCCTCGGGGTAGCCACTGTCTGTCTGTCCTGCCGAGGGCCTTCCTCGTTCACTGCCCTTCTGTTTTACCAAGCATGTCTTTCTCCAGGGGCTGGTCTCTCCTGATACCACGTTCCAAGCAGGTGAGATGCAGTCTCACCGTCCGTTTCCAGGGGGCATGCCGGCTGTGCTTCTTCCAGGACTGCTTGGCTTGTTCTTCTGGCGGCCGGCGGGGCTTGCTCCATATTCCTCACCGGCACCGGCACGCAGATGCCCGATGCTTCTTTGCCTTCCTTAGTCAGTGTCCAGCTCCGAATGTCCAATGCGGGTTTATTTGTGTCAGTTTCCTCACTGCCACCAAGTCCACTCTGACTCACGGCGACCCTACATGACAGGTGGGCTTCCGAGACTGTAACTTCATGGGAGTCGAAAACGTGTCTCTTCCCTTATTTTGAATACCTCAAGTTAAATGGAATCTACTGCCGAAACGAAGTCCCCCCATCTCATTTTACTTTTTGTACTGTTACTACTCTCTCTTGTCCAGTGGTCCCCGCTTACAGTGACCCTGTGGGGCAGGGTAGAACAGGCCGCGAGCTTTGCAGAAGTAACCTGTCTCGCCTGCTCCTGGCGAGAAGCCACCAGCTTCTCAGTGCGAGGCCACCGGGGCTCGTCACCAGTTCGACAGACATAATGAGGTACGTGGCTCATATTCTATTCCCACTTGGTGGGCGACTCGCAGCCTCTGCCCTTCACTGGGACCCTTTCTGTCTCTTGAGATCTACACTGCCCAGGGTGGCAGCCCCCTCCATGCGGGCACTTAGGTTTCAAGGGAAATGAAATGAAATGAGGAATTTGGTTCTCAGTCACACTGGACATAGCTCAAGTGCTCACCAGCCATTCCTGGCTGGCAGCTGGGCCTTTAGACACCATGTCCCTAAGGGCAGAAAGTTCTGTTGGCCAGCGCTGCTCTCTAGGGGGTTCCAGGGTGCACCTGAGCCGATTCAGCCCTGCCTAGCCCTCCCTCGGTGGCCCTAAGGGCAGAAAGTTCTGTTGGCCAGCGCTGTTCTCTAGGGGGTTCCTGGGTGCACCTGAGCCGATTCAGCCCTGCCTAGCCCTCCCTCGGTGCTCCCCACCCACCCCCAGCACTCCCTCCTCGACAGCAGATGCAGGGGCTTCATGCTTAGGATCCCTCAACCTTCCTCCCCTTGCT